TTTCTTCTTACAAAATACTCTGTACAGAGCCCCCTTCATGTCTTTGTTCCTCAGGCTATAGATGAAGGGGTTCAACATGGGAGTCACCACTGTGTACATCATGCCCATGACAGTCTCCTTCACAGTAGAACTATTGGCAGATGGGCATAAGTACAGACCGATGACTGTCCCATAGAACAGTGACACCACAGACAGGTGGGAGCCACAGGTGGAGAAGGCCTTATGGATACCTCGAGCAGAAGGAACCTTGAGAATAGAGGAGACGATTCGTGCATAGGACACAACGATGAGCACAAATGGAATGACAAGAATAAGACCTCCAGTGATAAATATCACCAACTCATTAACATGGGTGTCAGAGCAGGATAGCTTCAGCAGAGCAGACATGTCACAGAAAAAGTGAGGGATCACATTGTCCTCACAGAATGACAATCCGGCCATGAGCAGGGTGTGCAGCATGGCATGGAATGTGGTCAGCACCCAGGACAGCACCACCAGACTCACACAGAGCCTAGGACTCATGATGCTGGTGTAATGAAGGGGGAAGCAGATGGCCACATAGCGGTCATAGGCCATGGCCACAAGGAGGAAGCTCTCAAGGTCTCCAAAGAGCAAGAAAAAGTACATTTGTGCCAGGCAGCCTGCATAGGGGATGGAGGGTACTTGGCTCTGCATGTTCTGCAGCAGTTTGGGCATTGTGACAGAGGAGAAGCAGAGGTCAGAGAAGGACAAGTTGCTGAGAAAGAAGTACATGGGTGTGTGGAGATGGGAGTCCAGTAGAATAAGGATGATGATGATGAGGTTCCCCAGGACAGTGGTGAGGTACATGGCCAGGAACAGGGCATAGAACAGGTGCTGGTGCTGTGGAGGGATGGGCAGGCCCAGGAGGAGGAATTGGGAGATGACAGTGTGGTTCCCTTCTGTCATGCTGCGTCACCAGAATCTTTAAGAGAAAAGTTTAAAAGTCCATTAAGTACAAATAAGACTGAACACATTTCTATGATATACAATCTGTTAAATGTTCTTCAATAATTTATTGCATCCTCAAAAACTGAAAGATATAGGTAAATTTCTTTCATTTGTTTGTGTTTCTGACACAGAGCCATTCTACTTAGCCTTGGCTGACCTGGAGCTCCCTGTGGTGGGCAGGATGACCTTTTAGTCCTCATGTTCTGCTTTCAACACAGGACTAAAAGGTCATCCTGCCCACCACAGTTGCCATTCCTGCTGCCTAGTAACATCTTCTCTATGCTGCCATTTCACCGGACTTTCTTAGGAGGAAATTATCTTCATAATAATCCACAGGTAAAAATGCCAAGTAGAATGGGTTGTTTCCATAAGATAATCACAATACATTTAAGGCAATGGGGATCTTCCCACACCCATTCATGTCATGCCAGACACCAGAGAAAAAATGGAAGCACAAAACATGCAAAGACAGCAATAACAAGAGACATCCTGGGGCTGAGACTCACATGGTCATGCCTATCCAATTTACCCATCAGTGCCTTGCATGCTGGTGAACCAATCCCCTGAAGTCGATTGCCATTTGCTGCTCCTCTGACATGACCACTGGCACTTGAATAATCCACTATATGACAAGAACATCTCTATAAAATGCCTGACAGGAACATCACTATGTTGAAATGATATAATTTTGTGATAGTAATACTAATGCATAGTAATACTAATGAATACTATACTAGAAATATTATATGTGGCAAAGTATTATAATAACTTTTCTACAATGTGTAAAACACCTTGGGAGGCACAGAGTTGGAAGCATATCTGAAAAAAGAAATGTCTTCCATAATATCAAGAGACCTGGGAGATTAAGACCTTCCAGTTAGGAACATGAAGGAAGGACCTCACTCATTCACCTTCTGGCCTACTTACCCAGAATGTCTCAGGATGACTGCAGGGCTCTGGTCCAAGATTCTGTTCCATTTATTCAGAATAGACATAGGAAGAACAACCACTGTAGTCAACACCTATGTTTCTACCATCCATGCTCACATTTCTCATTCTGCTCATACCTGGGCCTAAGGGGCTCTCTCTGCATCCCAGGGGAGTCTAGATCCTGGAGGAACTCATTAAACAAGACTAAATAATTAGTCAAGACCTCTCTAGGACAAATTCTCTTGGAGTCCTGTAGCAGTGACTGATTAGTCTCTGATCGTGTGTTATTGTACTTTGGGGGTCATGGGGATAGTGAGCAGCTCACTGAGAGATGCTTATTCATTGTGTGTCTAGTGAATCAGCAGTAGTCCTGTATTTGGGGAGAACAGTTTGAGAGACCTGTTCCACCAAAATAAACAGGGACCTTACTGTGAAGACTCTAAAATATCTTAGGAGTATTACAGCCTAGCTTCTATACTGTGAACAAAAAACCATCAGTGGTCTTTGAATGCCACTGTGAAAGACACTGTGTCAGAAATATTTCAAGGGTAGCAGAATCTTTCAGGACAACCAAACTCCCCATAAATATATTCCAGCTAAGAGGAAAACCTTAACTATAAGGACCCAAGCACATGAAGACACAAAGGAAGGACAGGAATGAGAGAAAAGAGAGACTCTACCACACTGTATTCAATTATTCCTCCAGCCAAAATATAAAAGGAACATGGATTTATATCTTATTCAATTACTTCTAGCTTCTAACTCCTCTAGGAAAACCTTAATAGTGTTCCCCACAATCATCCTAACCAGTCTTCTTAAATCTTAGATACTTCCCAGTATCAACCATTCCATTTGGATCATTGTGGTAGTTTGAATGCATTTGGCACCATAAACATGTAAGAAGTAGCACAATAAGAAAGGGTGGCTTTGTTGGAGGTGTGGTCTTTGTGGAGGAAGCTGAATGACGCATACCTTTAATACAGACCTTAAGGATGAAGGGCACACCTTTAATCCAGGCCACATCTTCTGTTGGAAATGTGTCACTGTGGGAGCCAGCTTTGAGTTCTTTTTCTCAAACAGTGACAGTCAGTGAACTTCCTGATGACTCTGAGTCAAGATGTAGGATTCTTGGCTCCAGAACCATGTCGCCTGAATTCTGTCACGCTACCCACCATAATGAAAGTAAGCACCCTCAATTTAATGTTTTCTTAAAGAGGTTGCCATAGTCATGGTGTTTCTTCACAGCAGTAAAACCCCTAACTAAGACAACCATGGGATTATAGTTGATATTTGCAATGCCCTATTCTATACATACCCTGTGTTCCCTTTTCAGCATTTCAACTAAAATTGGCCTTCATTGGGTGGGGGGTGGGAAGGGAGGGTGGTCAGGGTGCATGTGAGGGGGAAGACAGAGTAAAAGGGAGAGAGGGAGGGAGAGGTAACTGGGATCGACATGTAAAATTTAAAAATAATAATAATAAAAACCAAACAAACAAAAAATAATAATAGGAGTCCTCTGCAATTGACCACACATTTGGTTCATGACTTAAATTTGGAGGTATGAAAAAAAAAAAAAGAACAGAGGTCCTTGGCCATCCTAACTCTGTGACCCTTTAATACAGTTCATCATGTTGTGGTGACCTGCAATCATAAAATTATTTCCATTGCTACTTCATAACCTTAACTCTACTATTGTTACGAATTATACTGCAAATATTTTTGGAGATGGAAGTTTGACAATAGGGTGATGACCAACAGGTTGAGAACCAGTGATATATACTGTGGCAAGGTTATCTCAGGCCTATTATTCCTGTTTCTGAGCCCTAGCATTGGGTTTCTCTGGTTCCATAAACTGAAAGTCACACACACCTTCAGAACCTGAAACTGTAAGAGAATTAATGTCTATGGGTCTACCCTTAAATGTGGGTGCTAGATGCTAATGTCTAAGTCACTCTTGGTAGTGGTCAAATAAGCTACCCTATAAACTGGTTCCCCTTTTCCCTATTTAATTGACCCTATCTCTCATTTCTCCCAATGGATAGAGCTCTCAGATAATGCAACTGGAAATAAGACTTTTCTCAGTATGTGACTTTAAGTTTCACAGGCAAGACAGAATGAAGCATTTCAGACTGTGAAATGCCTCATGTGTTGCTATGGCATTCGTGGAGAAAATAAAACTGCTTGGAGTTTGGACATTTTTTCTATCCTGCAAACCAAGAAAAAGAGATCAGCTGGAATATGACTGTAGAGTCCATTCGAAAAGCAATGACAGAAAAAGACAAAGATGGAGTGGCAGAACACATAGATGAGAAGGGAATGCAATGAACCAAAAGTGAGAAGCCCAGAGTGATTTGAGGCGTCAATGCTGAATGGTCATTATGACTTAAAGCTATAGTAGGCAGACATCTTTTAAATCCTACTTAAAATTTTCCTGAATTTTAACTAAAAACTGGAGTGAAATACAATAGGTTTAATTTTTTAAGTCCAATCAAGACTTCATGGACAGCACAAATTGGAGTCCATGGGATTTTAAAAGAGGATACCAAGATGGATGAATGAGGACTTGGAGAAATGAATGAATATGATCAAAACTACAATGTAAGAAATTCTCAACAAATAAAAACATTTTCTAAATAAATGTAGTAACTAACCTTCATATAGTAACAAGTGCAGAATAATACTTAAAACAATACTCATATCCATCTTGCTACTAATAGTGTGAGTGCCTCCAGCATTGTCCTTTGAAATCTGATGGTTTGTGGGCTACCACAAATGTATTATTCCATATTAAAGAATTGCCTATACCTAAGATAGAGTTTTCTGCCCTTTGGCTAAAATCAAGTTAATGATGTATGTATTTTTGTCTGTTACAGTGAGCCTTTTTACCTGAAGTAGTTCTTCAAATATAGCAAATGTAAAGCACAGCTCAATAAAACTTAAAAATTAAAAACATCTAGTCTTGCTGCTTAGGTCAAATCTATAAGAAAAGGTTTATTTTAATAAAAAGTAGTGAAATACAGAAAATAAGGCATGATTTTTAAAAACAAGTCATGCAAGTGGTAAATTAGTAACAGCAAACGCTTCGTTTATATTGTCATTGTTTACATTTCATTTACTACTTTAGTATAATACTTCATCTCAGCATCCACAATTGTAACAAATGCTTGGAAAGTCTTTTGTTCAGAAGCAGATGCTGGTCTAACAGAAACACACTTGAAAATGTTCTTGTCTGGGTCGTAGTGTCCAACACACCTGTGAACTCGGCCTCTGATCAGTCTTGGAAGTTCACGATCCTGTTTATCAAAACATGAGTCAAAAATTATTTATTGCTTCCTCTACAGGTCAATGTCTAATTTATAATATGACTAATTAAACGTGAATCACTCCAAATGATATTATTCTCTGTGTTGCTTACAAGATAATCTAGTCATACACAGATAACTTGTCACAGAAGAACTGTTCTAACCCTAATAGGGCTTCTTACAAACTAGCAAGAAGATGCTTCCTGGAAAATTATTAATACCCCATAATGGATAAAAATAATAATAAATAATAATAATGATAAAAGAATTTCTAATGTGATGGGACTGTCCTATGGTTTTGGTGGTGGTGGTGGTAGCCACAGACATTGAACAGAACACTTTAAAATACTCACAATTTCATAAAATACACATGGAAGAGTATTTTTCCCATCTCTCATGAGAAAAGTCTTTGAATACTGTGGGCCAGGTGTGACAGCTGAATCCAGGACAGCTAAGCAACATAAAAATGGTAAATTAATACTGATAAATATAAAAAAATTTAACAAAGAAAAGTTTATATTTAAGTGTCTTCCCATTACAGCCTCTCCCAGTTCTACTTATACAGTGCTATTTCACAGAGAAATTGTATCCTTTCAGTGTGTTGTATAGGTTGGCTGAATTCCAAAGCTATCATAACAATAAAATGCACTATATCAACAAATAAGCCTTGTAGTTTGGTGAAAACACCATTGAATTAGAATTCTAGTGTCAGGTCTTCAGCTTCATACTATTGGTGACATTGTTCAAACTTTATTTATTTCATTTTCTAAAACACAATATATTCATGTAAGATGTACAAGAACAGAGAAAAAGAGAACAAATAGATCACAAATGTTTCATCACTGCAGGAAATCAAATTGACATGCCTGTCTCCTTCCACAGTTACATTTTGGAGTAGAGTAAAAGCACCTAAGATCTACCTTTTGGGCTAATTTTCAATATTTACTATAGTTTTATGAAACACATAACTTCAAGTTTGTATTTTTTATTCTACAACTTTCCATCTCCTTCCCCTTGAGCAAATTATTCAACATCTCTCAAAGCTGTCTCTTCATCAATAAATACAAGTCCTAATTCATGTTAGCACTAGAAATTTTTATCAAACAGTATTAGTCAATCACTTACTAACCATTTCCTGAGTACTGGTAGTACACATCTGTTATTTTGAAGCCAGCCTACATTTCCCTAAATAAACATAATCTTTTCCAATTTGAGTTATGCTTCATGATACCCTAGGTATTCCTAATGACATTGAAAACATCCAAATGTATTACTTAAGTATTCCTGGAATATTATACATACCCAATATTTCAAAAAGAAGTACAGTTTTCTGTACTTGTGCACGCCAGTACCTCATGCTTTCAATGACTGCAGAAATGATCCTTAAAGAATTATCTTTGGCCTTTAACTGACGGAAGGGGGCTTCCTTTGGGGGAAAAAAACATAAGTATAGAAAAGTGTTCATTATATTCTTTATTCTTTTGGAACTATGTAGAGTCTAGGTCCTTATAATAAGTAAACGTGTAGAATGTGTGAAAAAAGCTACTAAAAGTTTCAATGCAATTAAATCCCCCAAATTAAAGCCAGCACCACACTGCATTGCATTATAGAATGAAAACCAGAATGTATTTAAATAAGAACTATGTGGCTAAAGAGATGGCCCAGTGGGTAAAGCATTTGCTATATAATCCTGATGACCTGAGTTTGATCCCCAGAATGCAGGAAAAGATTGAAAGAGAAAAAACAACTCCACAAATGCCCTATAACCTCCTCTACACATGTTTTGCTTGCCTGCATTTATGTGTACATATGGGTATGCCTGGTGCCCACAGAAGTCAGATAATGGTAGCTAATGCCCTGGACCTGGAGTTTCAGAAGGTTGTGAGCAATCTAATGGGTGGTAGGAACAGAATCCAAGTCCTTCAGAAGTGGGGCCAGTGTTCTTAACCACTAAACCATCTCTTCAGCACCATACTTTATTGGATTGTTTGTTTGTTTGAAGATCTGAAAATACAGCTTTTAATCTGAGCATTAGGAGGCAAAGGAAGGCTGATTTCTGTGCATTTGAGGCCAACTAGTCTACATAGTAATTTCAGGGTAACATAGTGAGACACTGTCTTAAAACAAACAAAAAATAAGCAAAAAATATACTAACTTTCAAGGGTGGGGAGCATAATTTCCTTTCTGTGGCTGAGGAAATTTTTTTCAAACTTTCTCCATCTTCACCCTCCTAAGCAAGATTTAAATATGCCTCCTTGAAAATGAGCCACTGTTACTAGGGTGACAGCATCATATCATTCTGTGTACAAGATAGCATAACATTAAGAATCACTATAAAACATGCTACCTTAGTCATATTTCCAGAAAATAAAGAAAAATAGAATTGATCCTAATAGCTTGCTAAACACAATGATGTTCAGATTATGGTCAGAACAAATACAGAGCACTTAAGCAACCAAACACTATCAGCAGTAACAACCTGAAAGGGCCAAGGGAGAAAGAGGAAATGACCAAGACCATGAAAGCTAGGCTCAAAGGGACACAGACATTGCAACTGTTATGATACTGAAGTAGGTAGAAAACTAAACCTCCACCTCTCCCCACATCTACATCCTCCTAATGACCCCCATATGGCTGACCTCTAGTAGAAGCCAGCAAACAAAGGCCCCAGAGTGAGGGACCAGGTTAAAAAAAAAATGCAACACTCCAGAGCACAAAGATGCGGAGAGGAACAATCTACTGGGCCCTGGGATGAAGAGAGAGAGAAATGATAACCTGCACATATGCAGAAAACATTTCAAAGAGCAATTAGAAATGCAGCTGAGGAAAAGGAGCATGTTCTCAAGAACTCAAAGCTGAGAGGTATCATAGTATACACCATATTCATCCCAATATGAAGAGTTCAGGATAAACAGCACTTTGTAATATGGTGTAGAAGGCAGGAAACACAGTACAGGACCAGATTATAAAACAGAAGTCAGTGAACTATGGCCTACATTCCAAATCCAACAATCTCCTTGTGTCAACTTGTACTGAATCACAGCTATGCTCATTCATTAGTGTGTTGTCCACAGCTGCTTCCAAGTTACAATGGCAGAGTTCAGTCATAAACTAAAATAATGACAATAAAGACAGTATGATTCATAAAGCCAAATATATTGTTATCTGGCACTTTGCAGGAAAATATTTCTGATATCTTGTGGGGGAGAATGACAATAAAAAAGTATGGATTGTTTCTACAAGAAATGGATGAACTATTGTTACCTTAATAATTTCTTAAAAGAGTAAAAACAAAGACCCAGTAAGAAATTCTAAAGCCACTATTAAAAAAAAGATCTGACATTTCAGAAACAAACATTCATCTACTCCAATGTGAAACTGGATATTTGTATGAATCTGCATATACCATGTATGCATCTTTCTAAACACTTACTACACATGTATAAACATGTAAATAAGCCATCCATTAATATTTAAATGCTTACCTTCAGAGCATTTTCTCCTGGAGTGTCACCCAACACTGTTTTCTTAAATTGATTTTGTTGAAAACTGGGCTTAAATGCCTGCAGTGCACTGGCTCTCTCTGGGCCTTTCACTGCAGAGCCAGGCAGTTTTGATAAGCATGTTTGTCTGAGTGCTTCAGTTTCTTTGTGTCCATGAAAGGCAGGAAATTCAGGTGTTCTTAACTGTTTCTGCCCTTGAGTTCCCAAATTCACTGCACAAGAATTGAATTCACTGTTTGGGGCTGGGCTTGCTGTTTTATGCTGAGGTCGGAAATCATTTTTATCCCAAGTTCTCAAGCTGGTATTTCTGTTGTCACCTCTGTAGCTGTAAAAGTAAAGCATAATTCTCTATCTTTCTATCTAGGAACAACTGATTAATTAGCAACAATTAGCAGTCTACAGCTACTAAGTAGTGAGAAATTTCAAACAAATCATTCATTACACAATGGTACAATATATTATTACTTCTCTTTCCAGATGAAGAGACAACTTTTAGGGAAGTAATAACTCATACAAAGATATACAGCAGCAAGTCACTTGTCTCATCTCCCAACTCAAGAGCACAGAGCTACAAACGTGTGCTTACAATAGCCAAGCCTTCATATAACAGTAATCACCAAATGAAAATAGTTTGAGAACTTTTGCTTAATTCTTTATACATTTATTTTGAAATTTTCTGCAAAGTAAAAAAAAGAAAGCTACAGCTTGCCTGTAAGGTTATTTAAAATTTTGTGCTTTCCAAAACCCTATTACCCAATGTATTTTAGCATTTATTTACCATATTACTTTAAATGACATAAATGCTGGTCAGTGTAGGATGTTAATAAGACCCAAACAAATGTAGTTCCTAAGCAGGACAGTTAAGACTTATATGGGTAAGAGAAATTAGTCCAACTCACAAAAAGTTCATTAAGAATACTGCAAGCATTACAAGGCAATCAACACAACCTACCTTTATTTTTAAAAGGAGTGGGAAGAATCTGAGAATCTAGTGATCAGCAAAAAGTCTAGGTTTTATGGGGTATAAGGCCTGTACAGTTTGAGAAATACTGTTAAATAAAGTACAAATTTAAGAATATAATGAAAAAAGAAATCAATTATGAATCTTAAGGTTATGAATACCATAAACAACATTAGTATCAAGAGAAAAATATTAGAATTATTGTTATTCTTCAGTGTTTGGGACACTCTGTCCTGCAACTATTTCCTCTGAATGAAACATTCCTTCCTGGATGGGAAAAGGAGGCTCAAAGAATTTGGGCAGCTAATGAAATTCACAAGACTCAGGAAAATCACAAGATGCAGGCCCTTCCCACAGTTACATAAGCAGCAAACATTTTTTGCAGAGATAACACTCTGGCAAAGCTAAGTGTGCAGGAAACTCAGAAATTAGCTTCTGTGAGTCATCACCTATGCTGGGATATGCTTTTCCATGATGTAGCTGCCTAATCACACTCCTATATGTAACCTTGCACACATGCTATTTTTATTATTTAAAAAACAATCACTGAGACTCACTATAGAACATGCTATCTTAGTCATACTTCCAGACAACAAAAACAGAATTTATCCTAGCTCCTAAAAAGAATTTTTAGATTTCTGAATAAAACATACAGAGCACTTAAGCACTCAAATAAAGAACTAGCAAATTTTTTAAAGCTATATTAATTCAGTACTCAAGCAAGCACTTGCCTAGACCTAAAGTCTATACACCTCATTGAACCTCTATATAGTTAGAAGAGTCATTCTGAAGCCATGGAACTTTGCTTTGGATTGGTATACTCTCACTGTCAATTAGACTGTTATGCATTAGCCACCATAGAAGAACTAGGTTGTTAACTCTTACCCTGAAAAAAAATCCAAATGCATCAAAGTTCTCAAAATAAAACCTGAAAGTACTAGAGGGAAAAGTAAGGAAAGGCACGGGTAAGGACTTCCTAAATAGAACAGTAGTTGCACAGGAAATAAGGTCGACAATTGACAAATGGGATCTCATGAAATTAAAAAAACTTCTGTACAGCAAAGGGCATATGATGGTCGATCAAGTAAAGAGGCAATCTGCTTTATGGAAGAAAATCTTTGCCAGCTATATTTCTGTCAGAGAATTAACTCAAAAACCTAAACATCAAAAAAAAAAAAAAATCAGAAGAGAGTGGGCTGTAGATTTGAACAGAGTCATCTCAAAGAAAATATATAAATGGTTAATAAGCATTTTTAAAAGTGTTCAATAACCACCAGGGAAATACAAATTTAAAATTTCAAGATTCTATACCATGGTGACAGTCAGAAGAAATAAAATGATAACAAATGCTGATAAGGATGTGGGAAAGAGAAACTCTTATTCAGTGCTGGTGAGAGTGCAATCTGATAGAACTACTGTGTAAATTAAGTGTGGAAGCTTCTCAAAAACACTAGAAATGTAAGAACCTAAAGAAAGTAGGTAGAGATGCTATAGAATGCTATCTTCTGGACATGACATGGCAATTTCTCTCACAAACACAGGAGCCGGGGTTACCTGCACAGGATCAGCATAGATGTGATAGATGATCTCTAGCCTCACTCTCTACTGAGGAAATGTTTGCAGGTGATAGTTTCTGGAGAAGAATCATTGTTATCTGATAAGATTCCCATGCTTCGGTGGAGCCTCACACCCATTCACATATGAATCAACTAATTGACCTTAGTGGATTATTTAAGAAGAGAATGGCACACATCGTTAATTCCAGCACACAGAAGGCAGAAGCACGGGGATCTCTGTGTGTTCAAGGCCATCCTGGTTTATATAATGAGCTCTGGGACAGGAAGGACTACATAGAGATACCCTGCCTTAAAAAAAAAAAAAAAAAGAAAAAGAAAAAAGAAAAGAAAAGAAAGAAAGAAAAAAAAAGACATGAAGTTGAAAGATATGGAAAAATTGGAGTAGGAAATAAGTGTTATATATAGTCATATTTCACTGTTTATGTGTATGAAATTCTCTAATCTAGTACTAGAACTACTATATGACCAAGCTGTATCACCCAGGCATATACGGAAAGGACTATATAACGTACTATGGAGACACTTCACCCACATTCATTACAGGTCTAATCACAGTATCAAAGAAAGAAAATCAACCTAGATGTCCATTAGCAATGAATAGATCATAAAAAATATGATCCCTATATACAATAGAAATTTATTCAGTTGTAAAGAAAAATTAAATTGTGAAAATTTCCAGTAAATTGATGGAAGTAGATAATATTATACTAAGTGAGGAAACCCAGGCCCATATGAACAAATGCTATGTTCTCATATGTGAATCTGGCTTCAATTATTTTAGATGCATATATTTAATCAGAGTTCCTATAGAAGCTAAGAAGCTATAAAGGAGATGTTGAGAATCAGAGTTCCTATAGAAGCTAAGAAGCTATAAAGGAGATGTTGAGAAAGTACCTTTAGAGAAGCATGACAGAACATAGGTGATATAAAAGTAGAGACTGGGAATACTAGGGGTGGAAGAGGTTATGGAGGAATGAGGATAGGCATAAAGGGAAGATCTAGGGCATAACCAAGACAAAAAGTATATGAAAAAAGTTATATGAAACCTACTACTCTTATCCAGTTTAAGCCTTACACACACACACACACACACACACACACACACACACACACACACACATTCTGCTTCCACAGATCAAAAGAAACTACAGATCAAAAATATATGGGAAAAATTACAGCTATACCCAACATATACTTTGTCATTATTACTTAAGTACATCATGACAACTATGTAACATTTAATATGCATTACATTGTATAAGTTAAAGTATATAGGAAGGTGTATACAGATTATATTCAAATACCAGTTATTTATTAATGTAGAGATTTCCTAAATGTATTTCTAAGAAAGAAAAAAAAATTTTGGCAGCAGTCTTGTAGGTCTCTAGAGCTTTCTTTAGGTTCAGTTTTCTCTTCAAACCAATAATGGCTTCCTCTTTTATGTTTGCTTTCTCTCTCTCTTCTCTCTCTCTCTCTCTCTCTCTCTTCTCTCTCTCTCTCTCTCTCTCTCTCTCTCTCTCTCTCTCTCTCTCTCTCTCTCTCTCTCTCTCTCGTCTTCTATTCCTACCCTGACTCGATCTTCCTAGAAAAAAAAAATTTTAAGGAAAGAAGAAAAAACATAGGCAGACTTACCCCCAACCACTTTGGCTTCTTTCAACATTTGACTGAATAGATTTAGGCACAGAATCTTGACTTTTCAGGGGATAAGAAGCAGAAGCTGGTATTTGCCTTTCAAGGAAAAATCTTGTTTAAATATAGTTTGTTTTCAAATTGAGAAATGTAAAATGTATACTGAAAAGTAACATCAGTCAGTAACAGACACTATTTATTGACTCATATATTAATACATACCCTGTATTCACTGTTTTCTTTAAAGGAGTCACCTCTGGATTCATAACTTCCCATGTCCAATCTCAAAATATAAGAACAGATGAAAATAAGAGAAATCCTTTTCAAATTAATTCCTAACATTTAATTAATTTGAGAGCTCTAACAAGTCGAAGATATAGACACAGTCTGTATCTTGGTTGTAGGATTTGTCATGGCCTGTCTAATTTTATAAACATCTTCCTTCCCCATTGTAAAAGCAGTAGTTTAATCTGTCTTTTCCACAATCATAACCTTGTAATTGGCAATATAAATTTAGTCAAACCCTAAACTTTATTCTACCCCAACATAAGAAATATAACTGGTAACTAGATAGCTAGTATATGAGACTAACAGTGACACAGAATCAGAGGATAAAATATCAAAATTTAACATCAAATCTAATTCTTACTATGCATGATATACACTGACATTTTCTATTCTGTTCTAGTTACTCTTTTTACTTTTAAAGATTTTTATTTTATGTTTTAATTTTGGGGCATAGTGCATAAGAACTCATGCTGTTCATGGAGGCAAGAGGATCCCCTGGAGTTGGAGTTATAAGGAGGTTGTAAAATACCTGACATGGGTTCTATGAACCAAAATCAGGCCCCCTGAAAGACAAGTAATCCCTCTTAACCTCTGAGCTATCTCTCTCTTCCCTTATACTCTCCTTTGAAAAGTTGATTTTATCCCAGACTAATAGATCAAGATAAAAATTCCTATTTCTCTGTGGAATAGTTAACACTTGTAATTTCTCAAATTAGTATTCAGCTACTTAAAAAACATTTTAAATGGTGAGAAAGATTCTAAGTGATGGAGAATAAGATGAATGCTGAGTTATGCATGTCCATTTTCTACTTTTTGTCCATAAAAAAGGAATGAGGGCCAAAGATGGCTCTCTGTGAGGAAAGTTATTCGCCATTCAAGTCTCATTCTGAGTTTGATACCAGAATCCACAGTGGAATGAGAGAACTGACTCCCAAAAGTTGTCCTCTGACTTGCACACACATACCATAATGATATGCATGCACATGTACTCATTTACATACTAATAATAAAATTAAAATTTTAAAATGGGAATGTTATATGTTAATTTTGTACTTCAAATCCCTAGTGTGGAAGAAAACCAATGACATATTGAAGTCTATGGAAGCACACTAAATGAAATTTAAAATATGAATATTGCTATATGTAAAAACATTTTAATATTATATTCACATGATTCAATTAAAAATTTTGAAGTTTGTCCCAAAAATTTAAATGTACATAACATAATCTACCAAATCTATATCAGAATGTCTGCCTATCAGTGCCTTCTTCCAGAGGTACATAAAAAAGTCAATGCACACTGAGCCAGTGAACAAGATGGCATAGTGGGAAGGCTTGCTATCAAGCATGATGACCTGAGTTTCATCTCAGGAACACAAATGCACACACATACACAAATAAATAAATGAAGTGAAAAATTAAGTCACAAACATTTAAGATCTCCCAACACTCACCACTATAGGCTATTAGTTCACAGGTGACACATATTAAAAGCTTCCTGAGCCGGGCCTTGGTGGCACATGCCTTTAATCCCAGCACTCAGGAGGCAGAGGCAGGTGGATCTCTGTGAGTCTGAGGCCAGCCTGGTCTCCAGAGCATGTTCCAGGACAGGCTCCAAAGAAATACAGAGAAACCCTGTCTCAAAAAAAAAAAAAAAAAAAAAAAAAAAGAAAGAAAAGAAAAAAAAAGAAAAAAAAGGCAGTCAATCTCTAAGAAACAGAGCTAGAATATGTAAACTCCCAGCAATGGCAGCTATTATATACAGGCATTCTAGATGAGAGTATCTTAGAACAAAGTATCTTAAATTGAGTAATTTACAAATAGGAATTTTTGACAATGTTGGAGACTAAACTATATTAGATTGAGGTGACAACAAACCAGGTGTTTGATGAAAACATGTTCTCTGCTTCAGCATTAGTCTCACTTAGTATATCCTCACAAGACAGAAGCAGCAAACATACTTCTCCTTCTTCCTTTTTTATGTTCGATAGTCCTTTACATAGAGGTAGAGTCCTCACAACTATTAGCACTTCCTAAAGGCCCATCTCCTACTCAATAGTTAATTTTCAACTTAAGAATTTTCAGAAAAGGAATAAGGGAGACAAGAAAGAAAGACATGCAAAAATGTCCTGAGAAAGCAATGACTAGAGCCAAGCACCAAAAATTCCTGGGCTTGGCCTTTTCTATAGTCTATTTCTTCCACTTTTTCTTACATTTGTATATACACTTATCCCTATTTCTGAGATAACTCAACTTCTTCCACTCTTTCCTACCAAATATGTAAGTCACAGCAATCGATGTTTTGAGAAAGAAAATAATCTTTGTAATGTAAGTTTCTACTTCATTAGAACAAAGCTCCAGACAAAAAGATTCCCTATTTAAATGCTAAGCTACCCTTGTAGACAAGGCAACTCAAAACTCCTGGGCTGGAATGCCCAGAAGGAGCCAAGTAATCTCTATTGTCTAAGCAGTGAAAAGCAGCAGGGACTTCCTGCAATGACAGACTTTCTATAACCCTCATTCTTGTCTCTTGAAATTTTCACCTTACTCATTTTCTTACCTGTTGGTAGAGGAGAGGAACCATAACTGTCAGAAATAGTACTGAAACCTGGATCATTCTGAAGTGGATTAGAAGTTAATGGCTGTCTGTTCCTCTTTTTCTGATTGAACAATGGCACAGGCAAACAGCCTACATTGGATATACCAATAAATTAGTATAAAGCAGATAAATAAATACATCTACTTCTAAAGTAATTACCATTAGCAATGTGTAATGCTGGAAAGTTTGCCTACTTCTATATGCTAATACACCAGGTATATTTATATGCCCTTGAAATGATTTTTATAATCTTTCAGAAGTCCTAAATAGCTCACCAGTGTCTCAAAAGTTCTTTCTTAGTCTATCTTATCACTTTAATTTTTACTGTAAGCAATTCCTATCTGTTTTTATTTCTAAAACCTTTCCAAAAATTACTTCTTTTCCTTATGTCCCTCCGCTACTTGTCTAGCTCCTTATGAGCTGCAGAGTACCTATAGAATATATTAGACTAAGAAAGAAGAAACTTTGAGCCATGCTTTCTGAAAATCTAACCATGTTTTAGAGTGACTGCCAGCCAACCTCTGGAGCCATAGTTACCAAAATTCAGCTTAACTAAGATTTTTTCCTAGAATTGTGATTAACAAGTGGGTTTCCAAGGTCAAAATCCCCAATGTTGAAAAATTTTATCTCAATATATTTAGTCTGGAACCCAAAATTATAATTTTTAACAAACATCCTAACTATCTATAATAATATTTTTCTATGGATCATTTTTAAAATGTCTTAAGATAGTGGTTCTCAACTTTCCTAATGCTATTTTCCTTTAATACTGTTCCTCAAGTTGTGGTAACCCCATTCATAAAATTATTTCATTGCTACATCATAACTGTAGTTTTGCTACTGTTATGAATTTTAATGTAAATATCTGATATGCAGAATATATGATATGTGACCCCCCAAGGGAATCACAACTCACAGGTTGAGAACTACTGTCTTAAAAGAGTGACAATATCCAATCCAGTGAAAATGAATACTATCACCACTTCCTCCAGATCACAGAAACAGGTTCTCCAGTCAAATAAATAAATAAACAAACTTTAAAAGCTACAAAGGAATTCAGGGTCAAAAGAGGTCTTCAAAGCAAGAACGAGAAAAACCTAGATAGGACCCAAGTTCCTAAATCTCAGTTCCGAAACTCTTGACACTCTACCATTGTCTTGCTGTACTGCAGGAGAATACTAACTCTGGACACTCTCTAATGAAAAACTAGAATCACAAAGGCTCTGGAATCAGGCTGTCTGGGTTTTAACTATGCCTTCAAAGTGAATTTGAAATATAACTTCAAAGTTAAATGTAAGCTGTTTCCTTAAATTCTTTGTGTCCATAATACATACTGAGAAGGAAAGAAGCAAAAGAATGTGGACTCTAAAATCAGAGATTTCTAGGTTTGAGTCCTGTTTCTACCACTCAGTAGATTATTTAAGGTTTTTTTGCCTTGATTTCTTTTCTAGAAAACAGAGGTGATAATAAAGAGTAAATAATACTTCTGATTAAGTGTCTAGAATATGGTATGTCCACCATAAATTATTATTATGGTCTTCATTGTACATTACAATCATTTCCCTGGCTCTCATCATTCTTGACTTCTACCCTTACATCACCTTATAATTGAGAAAATATAAATACAAAATATTAGAAAACAGAAATGTTTCTAAAAACACAAAAATGTGTTTCTTTCCTGCTTACAAGCATGATTAAATCAATCACGTAAGTTCTGTAGAAGTTAAATCTCAGTATGTTCATTTTACTCTCACCTCTCTACTACCAAGTCCTTTGCCTTGACAAACTTACTTTACCTCTTTTGAATATAAAAAGAAAATAGTCTAAACTAAATGTTTAATCCCTTTAAAAGTTCTTTCCAAAATGTTCCTAGTAACTATACATGTGTTATGTGGTATCTGAAAAATACCTAAAAATAAAAAGTTGTTACCTGCTGTACTTCGGGCTGAATTTTCATTTAGGTTTCTCTTCATTTTCTTCAGCACCAATGCTTTTTCCTTATTTATTTAGCACTTGATATTTACAAAATGTAGCTGACTAAACCTTCAAAGGAAGAAACTTGTAATTCATTTATCAACAAGATCAACTTTTTAGTCTATTAAGTATGGATATTATGGCTTAAAACTTTCAAATCTGATCACTTCAGGAATTACTTTGTGACTAAGAATTTGAAACATATTCTATTTTTCCAGCTATGTAGAATAAATTACAATGGGGTCCATATAATCTTGTTTCCTAAATAAATATTTTTCACACAATCTAAGTGATTTATTTCAGAATTCAAGACCCATTATGGGAATTCTGAACCAAAACTATAAAAGAAAAGGACCAAAGGCACTGGCAAACTTAGAGAAACAAATAAAGCATTACTTTCATTGTATTTTTTTCTGCTTTCAGTTTCCTAATATATTTGTACCTTAATTTAACAAATACTTGCCCATGAAAAGGCCAGACACAGACCCAAATAATTCCTGCTGCAAATTCACTGCTCAGTGAGACAGACCGTCGTGAACACAACTAAAATGCAAATCAAACAGGTAAACATGAATGTCCAAATGTCAGCTGCAAAAGTAAAACTCGAAAACATGAGGCATAAGACTGCCTCTTTGTGTGTCTTGAACTTGAAAGCCGAATACAGGAAACTTAGATGTTTTTGTACTACTCTAAGAACCACAATAGAGATGGGGCCGTTTTTTTTCCTCAACACAGAAACACCAACTCATCCTAAGCCTAAGGAGTTATTAAGAGGGTGTGTGTGTGTGTGTGTGTGTGTGTGTGTGTGTGTGTGTGTGTGTGTGTGTGGACAACTCAGGGGCACACCCTCGTGTGTGTGTGTGTGTGTGTGTAAGGGGACAACTCAGGGGCACACCCTCGCTCCCGCCTTGGCCTCAGGAGGCCGCCGCACGGGGCCTGTTTGGGGCCCTCCTTGAAGGAAGGGAGCCATTTTCCAGTCAGAATTCATGTTCTCTCCCAACACCCGGCCCCCGGCCTAACACACCCAGTCACGGGGCCATTTTGGGTAAACAAACGGTATTTCCCTTTCTGGAATTCCCTGCCAACACCATGTACAAACAGAGCCCTTAAGTCAACCTCGCCTCTCTCAGCTGCCACGTGGAATGAGAACAGGCTAACGACTGGAACTCCCAGGCTCCGAAAAGCCGCGGGAAGCCTTGCGTGGGCGTGGCAATCCGCGCAGGCGCTCTGGAGCACCCGTACTACTGACTGCGCAAGCGCACAGGCCCTCCCTGCGCATGAAGGCCTCGCGCGAGAGTTGCAGGAGTTTCTGAACCAGGAAAGTCAAAAGCCACGCCCTTGGCGTTCCTCGCTTGTTGTGAGTTACGCAGATGGTGCAGGCATGGCGCTAGCTCTTTTAGCTGCCTGTCCAGGGAGAAGCATGTTCTGGTTATGGATGGGGCAGAGAGAGATTCCCCAGCACAGCCATGCACTGCCCCAGCTATGTCAGAAAATCATGGCATCTCTTGCCCGTTTCTTAGATGCTAGATAATTTTCTAAGATGGCTGCTGGCATCCTGGACTGTGCCTAGAAGAGAGTAACTCCCAAGGCATCAAAACAAGGTGTGTCTTGCCTACGCTGACGCCATGGATCAGACAGGGAATTTAGTCTCCAGGAGGCCAGTGGGAAGCTGAGGCTGGTTTTGAACTGACCCCCTCCAAAGCAAAGAGCAGTAAGGCAGAACCCAGTGCTGCAGCTGCGCAGGAGATCAAAAGAGCACATGGGCCACAGAGGGACTCTGCAAAGGAAGCCAGGTGGTTTGACGGCCTGGGCTCTGAGCTCTAAGCCTCCTGCCTGGAAAAACTGGGAGTTCTTGGTAATGTGACTTGGGGCAACTTACACTTTCTGTGTTTACATTTCCTTCCTCAATAAAATACCAATAATATTTACTTAATTGCATTAAACTATTAAAAGGTATTAAACTGTCCCAGCACATAGTAAGTGCTCAATAAAGGTTAATTCTTGTTTCAAACAGTAGCTACCACTTTGGGGATACTTATCATAGTACAGATCAGGTATTTAGTGTAGGCGTCTGGGCTCAAAAACAGTGTCCTCTGTTGCCCTGTCTTCTGGCCATGTAACATAGATAAAGGGAAGAAGTGGGAAGGGTAGCTATGGAGGGATGATTATTAGTAAGGGACTACAACTACACGATAATAAAAATAGGTCTGAAAGTCAATAAATAAGAGTGATAGTAAATGGTAGATTGCTAAATTATAGCAGACCTTGGATGACAGGGTAAGAAATAAACTGAGCATTTTTAATTTAGACAACAACAAAATGTTTGGTGGTGAGGGGTGAACTCCTTTAATCCCAGTACTCAGAAGGCAGAGGCAAGCAGATCTTTATGAGTTCGAGGCCAGCCTGATCTGCATAATAAGTTCCAGGACTCCAGGTGTACACAGAAAAAACTTGTCTCATAAAACAAGCAAATAAATAGAAAAGTATCCGTATAATAAGCATCAAGGAAGTGAATTTTGACTTCATATATGCATACATAAATAGATTTCTCATTCTTAAAAGGAACGAGAGATCAGGTAATGCTCAATGGTAGAGTGGTTACCTAGAATGAAGCCCATTAGCTCCTCAACATTAAAAAGAATCACAACTTTAACTCTAGTGAGAGCTAAATCATTTGAAGGTGTCTCGGTTGAGGGATTGCTCAAATCCTATTGGCCTGTGGCCATGTTTCAAAAGATGATATTGACTGACAATTGATGTAGGAGGTCCCAGCCCACTGTGAGTGGTACCAACTCTCCCTAGGTGAGTGGATCTGGGCAACATAAGAAAGCTAGCTGAGCAATGCAGAGAGTGAGTGGACAAGCATTCCTCCATGGGTTCTGCTTTAAGTTCCTGCTTAAATTCCTGTCCTTACTTCTCTAAAGGTTGGATTGTGACCCAGAAGTCACTTTCTGCCCCTAAGTTGCTTTTAGCCAGAGTGAGTGGAAATTTCCATCACAACAACAGAAAGAAAACTAGAACATTTTCTGACACAGTTTCAGAACAGTCTCAACTTAAGTTTCTCTCCTACAAATTTTCTAGCATTGCTCTAATTTACTAGCCATACTACAAAGTCAAACTTTGCTGTCCCTTTGTTTTAAACTTACATAATTCCATTAAGAAATTGGAAATCTCAGCATTCAGGAGCCTGGAGGCTCACAAATTCAAGGCCAGTCTGAGCTACATAAGGAGTTTAAAGCCAGCCTAGGCTATGTGGTAAGACCTGTCCAAAAAGAATAAAAATTTATAATACTTGAAGTAACACTTTTTTTTTTTTTAGGTATTTAAAATGTTAGTCTATAGATGATGACAACTAGGAAGGATTTCATTCAATATGCTGTCAGTTCTCTGAACTCTCAAAAAATAACTAATAGAAATGAGTGGGGGGGGGGGGTTGCCACGTGTTTTGGGAAGCAGAGTGAGTGCTTTGGGAAGCCGGGAGTTAAAACCCCCTTGGAAGTTAACTTGGTATAAGAGGGTGGAAGCCTGTGTTGCTCCAGTTCTAAGCAACCGCTTTCACTTTCTGCAGGAGACACACTGTACACAATAAACAAGGTAAGTATAAGAATTGCTGCTTTTCATTAGTTGCCCAGGAAGTTACTCATTTGAACACATAATAGAAACTTTAGGGAGGTGAAAGTTTACTTCAAAATACCGACCTGTTAAAATTCCATAAAACAAGCCTCAAAGTTCAAGTCACTGGTGCCTGCCACAATTAAGTTACTGAAGCGGCATTTCCAGAGAGAGACTAGGGCAAAGGACAGAACAAACCACTGGTCAGCAAGAAAGAAACAACAAGGCACAGTGGGAATGATTCACCAAGTTCATTAAAATCATGAGAGCAAGAGAGCTGTGCTCTCCATTGCCTGTTTTCATCCTCATGAAGTGTTAAGTGTATGCCGAGGCAGAGAGAAACCCAGAGCTACAAGGACTTTGTCTTAGATTATGGCAGTAATTTTGATGTGTAAGCAGATTGACTTTGCTTTATATCTGCACTATAATCTCTTAAAAAAAAGAATTGGGGAACATTTTGTATTTCCATCATGTGCTTTGCGTGTTTTGTGATTCTGCACTCTACTGGCTGTTTATGTAAACTCTGGAAGAGCAAAATTAGAAGTTCAGAGGAGTCCAAAAATAACAGAGGCACCCTGTTGTCTGTGGCAAACACTGGCCTTAATGAGAAACATGGCTCCCAGGCCTAGCTTTCTTTTATGTAACTGTGGAAACTTAATCAGGCTGCTTAGTGTTTCTTGCTGTTATCCTTGCAATGAGGATGTCAGCCCAATCTGTTATATCTTATAAAGTGGATTCATAAATAGATTAAGCAAATGTCTGTGGGGAAACATTATAGATTAACCTACCTACTATGAGGTAATGATTACCCTATTGTGTCCAAACAACTTAGTGTTGCTAATATAAATATTTCCTGTACTTTAACGTTCTTGGCTTTCTGGGTAATTGAGCATGAACTCAAGATTTGGCTCAGAGTCATTTCTCCCATGCTATACAATCATCTTATTCTGGATAAGTTCCCCTAATAAGAACCCCCGTAAAAGAGTGCATTCTGGAAAGCAGTTTTTGGTGCTAGCAAATGAGATTGCATCCATATCCCTCAAGTGATGTAGTTAAAATGTATATGTAATACATGTTATTTTTGTATATATTATGTTCCAAGACATTTTCAGGCATTAAAAAAATACTTGAAAATTACTAACAGTCACTTTTTGTTTGGTATTTAGATAAATATTTTTAAAAAAGAAAATATAGAATTACCAAAAGGCTCATGAGAAAAAAGATGTTTCAAAGTCACTTTTTAAAAATAGTTTTTATTTCATTCATTGTGTGGGGGGGGGAGACAGACACACATGTGGAGGTCAGAGGACAGCTTTTAGGAGTTGCTTCTATCCCTAGGACAGAACTCAGCAAGATTTTTGTCTGCTGCCCTTCTACCCACTGTGCCATGTCACCAGCCCCATCACTAACGGGATCTTTGTGTCTCTGAGTGTAGAAAGATGTGCTGAAAGAAAGAATTCTGTTCAAGAGGCAGTCTGGGTACCTTTGACTGCTTATAGAGAGACTCAAATGCCTTCAGACCATGAAAGTTCCTTACTCACTTCAGAAATGTTTCTAAATGTCAGTGGAAACATAAACACTGAGTAAGCCACATTGTTGTATTTGGGAGGACTAGGCTTTGTGTGGTCTTATTCTTATTATTATAGTTAATCATCCTGAACAGAAAACAGAATTTTTACAGCAGGAGATGCTAACACAATTGTACTTAGATCTACTGACCATCTGAGGGAGTTGGAAGTTAACAGCTGCATCTCTAGTTGATCTTTGCATATTTTAATCCAAATATGGTAAAGGGAGGGGCTACAGAAGGGAGTGTCCATAGAATAAACAGGCTCGGAAGTTGGAACAGAAACAATTGTTAAATACTGAGAACGCTGTACTTTGCACTTCTCACTTAGCTCTAAACTTTTCTGGGCAGTTAGGCGTCCTTTGACCTCCTCTCTTGTGAATTGCAGAAATCAGACCAGACTACTTGGCAAAATGACCTCTTGTGTTGCTGAAGAACCTGTTAAAAAGATTGCTATCTTTGGAGGGACTCACGGAAATGAACTGACAGGAGTGTTTCTAGTCACTCACTGGCTAAAGAATGGCACTGAAATTCAGAGAAAAGGGCTGGAAGTGAAACCATTCATTACCAACCCAAGAGCAGTGGAGAAGTGTGCCAGATACATTGACTGTGACCTGAATCGTGTTTTTAACCTTGAAAACCTTAGGTAAGACTGTGTTCTGTATTCTGTGAGATCATATGTGTATGAAGAGCAGTAGTCACTGAGACAGAGAACTTGTGAATACTCCTAGTCAGTGGTCAGATCCACACATAGAGTGTCCTTACCAGAGAAGATTACTTTCACTTTTAGTCATGCTGCATTGTGAATTAGGCAGCTACCCAAACTGGGCATTCATGTTCTCTGCTGTAAACTTTTTACACTTCCAGGCTTTTCTGATTAGTCTTCCTTTTACTGTATGCCATAGAGTAAACAACAACAAAGAAGAAAGGTCTTTATTTTTTGACTCATGTGTCTTGAAAAACACAAATATAATAATCCTTTGCATTAAATTTGTGTTTGGGCAAGCATGAACAATGTGTGAAACAAAAAAAATAAGACTCTAAATTATTCTCAAAAAATAAAAATAAATTAGTGTTTGGTTATTATACTTGTAAACATACTGCTTTGTGGGAAATTCACCACTGTGCTTTCTTATAGTATGTGTTTATGATAAAGTTCTAGCTGAGACAATGATGACAGTTTGATGTTTGTTGAATGAGAGAGTGGTTAAGCATCATTGGGGCAGTCCATGGCCTGAGGGGCAGATGTGTTCATCTCTGGTGGTGGGTTATCACTACTGAGGGAAATGAGGGCTGAAGCCACTTCCTCCAACCTTTCTGAATCTGGGTTACAGCTGATTTAGATAGTTGCATGTAGTGTTTGTGGTCACTATACTCCAGGTTGATAATTATCAGTTATTTTTGCCCTTATCTGTTTCATGATATTTGCTATTGTATATGCCTCTGTTTTCTTACCAACAGTTTTTTTTTTAATTATCCTAAAAGTATTGTTAAACATACGCCAGGTGTTTTGGATGTACAAAGCTGTGTACATGATGGTATTTTTACCTCAGGTAGTTGGTAGACTGTTAACTAAGGTGTAAGGCACCCAGAGGAGCACCTAACAGCATTGTGTGCTTGCTTTCTTGCTTTAATGTACTAGGTTATGTAGGGCCATAGTCATGCAACTGTCTGAACTCATGTTATTTTTTATTTTGAGACAGGGCCTTGCTAAAATGACCAGATTGGCCCTGAGCTTACTCTGTAGCCTAGGCAGGCCAGAACTTTTGACCCTCCTGCCTCACACTGCCAAGTAGTTGGGATTATAGGCCTGTGATAGCAAGACTGGCCATGCACTTGTTTGCTGATAAATGCTAGGTTGTTAGAGAATTCTTGAGTCCAGTCTTAACACAGAGCAAAAGGAATGTAAATAAAACAAAATTTGCCTTTACAAAATATTTGTTTTCCATGAAAGTTATACAGCATTGATACTTTGTGCACTAAATTTTATTAGCATAATTTCAATTTCAGAAATTCTTTCATCTTCGTGATTGAGGTTATATCAAGACAATTAATGTTTATTCGCCTAAACTAGCTATTAACTAGCTCATATAATACAAGTAAGATTTGTTGAAGAATGAAACTTTTAACCTGTGTATGTACCTTCCACATAATTCTGAAGTGGACTAGGGTGTGTTTTCTTACTAAAAACAGCCAATAGTAACCTCTAGGTGACTTCAGCACTTGGGTTCACATTCTGTTTCTTAGTCTGAACAGTCTTCAGAGGCTAGACAGCTCTGACTCACAATGGTCATGAAAACTGTGAGGTAAATAAACCAATGAACTCCTATGAACCATCATGTGCCTTTTCCTACAGTCAGTGATGACACCATTACCCACAGTCCCTTACGGAAGCAACCTTAGAGCTGTCTCTGCTTTCCAGCCCCCTTGTCTGGTGTGGTTAGTCCTACAACATACTCTTTACAGAACTCCACAGAGCAGCCAGGCTTTGCATTCACACATTTGTAATCTCCACTACCCAGAAAGCAGAGGCATACAAGGGCAGCCTGGGCAACTTATCAAGATACTGCCTTAAAATACATAATTCAAAAGTGGGCTGAGTGTATGTCTCACTAGGAGTGTTTGTCTAGCATGGATAAGGCCTTGGGTTCTCTCTACTGCAGTAAAAATAAAAACATATAAAGGCACTCCACACAGCCAGCTTTCCTCTGCGCACAGATAATATAGCCTTGTACAGGATCTCCATGTATCCTTGTCCCATGCATTCTTCATGTAGTGGCTACAAAACTGGCGCTAGCATAGACACCTTCTGCCTTTCACCTGCTGGAAGCTCTCTCTCTCTCTCTCTCTCTCTCTCTCTCTCTCTCTCTCTCTCTCTCTCTCTCTTTATTTAATTTATTATTTTACTTGTCGATCCCAGTTCCCCCTCCCTCCCTCACTTTAACGCTCTCTGCCCTCTCATGCACCCTGACTACCCTCCCCTCCCATCCCCCCATCCCAATTCCATATGTAGGGCAATGCCATCCAGGTGGGGTCATGTAGATCTGACAGGTCATGTGAAGTAGGAACTAGGACTTCTCTCCTGTCTCTAGGTTAAGGCAGTTATCTCTCCATGGAGGATATGTTCCCAAGGTCTTTTGTGCACCAGGGATACATCCTAGTTCCACTGTCTGAGGTCCCTTAGACTGCTCAGTCCTTCTGGCTGAGACCCATATTCAGGAGGCCTGAGTCAGTCCCATGCTGGATTCCCAGCTATCAGTCTGGTGGCCCCTTAGTTGCTCCTTGTTCAGGTAAGCTGTCTCTATGTGTTTCTGCAACCTGGTCTTGTCCTCTCCATCTGCACCTGGATTCTAGTTCAACTCTGTTTAGGTATGGGTGTTTGCTTCTGTTTCCAGCAGGTATTAGATGAGGGCTCCATGGATAAGTTAGTTGTTGATCTCACTATTTGGGAAGGGCATTTATGGTAGCCTTTCCACGGTTGCTCAAATTGTTAGTTGGTGACAGTCTTATAGGTCTCTAGACCTTGCTTTGGGTTCAATTTTATCTTCAAACCAATATTGGCTCCCTCTTTTATGTTCTATCTCTCTCTATCTATCTATCTTACTTTCTTTCTCTCTCCTGTCTTCTATTCCTACCCTGACTCAATCTTCCTAGTCGCACATGTTTTCCTCTTCTCCCCCTCTCTTTCTCCTACTTCTCTCACCATTCACTACCCCCCCCACTTCCCCTGTGCTCTGGGAAACTTGTCCCTTCCTGCTTCTGTGAGGGACTTTATATGAATCTCTTAGCACACACCTAGGAAGCTCTCTTTAAATCTCCTGTCCAGAATAGATCTGAGCAACCTACTGTGATGACACATCTATTATAGCAGTGTGGCTGGTAGTGCCACCCAAGGTCTGCCCCTGTCTGTTCTTGCAGTCTGGCCCCATAGGACTCTTCTAATTGTAACTGGACCCCAGGCATGAGAATTCAGAGTTCCCACTGTCTTTCAAAACTTAAAACCTTAACTCTGAACATCTGAGCAGGTGATGGTGCCACTTACCCAAATGGAAATAAATAGGTTCTGGGGTAGACCTCCTGAGATAATATGAACTAATCATGAGTTAATTTTGTAAATGCCTGTGGGGTTTGTGTGTGTGTGTGTGTGTGTGTGTGTGTGTGTGTGTGTGTGTGTGTGTATTATCACAATAGGAACTGTATTTGACTGCAAATAGAAACTCAAGAATAGTAATCTAAACTTCTTGTTCACAAGCATTATGTTCAAATGCAGGTGGCCCAGGTGCAACAGCTCCTTAATGTCACCAATGACTTTGGCTTGTCTCTCTTCCCACTGTACTTTCCCTAACATGCACGTTTTTCTTCCTTATGGGTTTTGCTTCATCACAAAAGGGCTGATACAACTTCCTGGTTGCAGATGTGACTTCTAAGCAGGAAAGACTCTGACACAAACTATTAAAAAAAATAGCCAGGTAATATAAACATATGGAAGTATGTAAAAACATATTTATTTGAGAAACTTAATAGAGAAGTATGAGTCTAAGCCGTTATGATGTGTAGAGCACCCTTGTGGTTCTCTTCCATAGCCAAACTGAGAACCTGGATGAAGACAGTGGTGACAGGCAGGAGAACAGGAGAGGAAGCAAGTGAAATAATAAAAACAACGAATAAATAATAAAAAGAAAAACCTTAGTGAATTCCTGCATCCATAAAATTGTAAATTTTGTTCAGACAGCCAAGGGTTTGTAATTCTAGCTACTTGTGAGGCTGAGGCAGGAGGCAATCCTCCATTTTTGGCTAAAGAATAAATCCAAAGCTATCCTGAGAAAATTAGCAAGACCATCTAAAATTAAAAAAAAAAAAAAAAAAAAAAAAAAAAAAAACAAGGAGGTTTGCTGGGACTGTAGTTCAGTGACAGAGCTCTCGCCTAGCTAGATGAGACCCAAACTTCTAGCTTCGGTTCTGGGGGGGGATAAAAATGGTGTAACAATTGCAAGTGGTAAGGAGAGAGTGGATAAAGACTCATTTGAGAATATAGTTATCACTTACCAACCCTCCTTGTTCCAGAAAAACACATGTATGTTATGTATGTTTGTGTAAGTTTGTACTTGGGGAGGGTCTGTGGTTTGTCATTTGTAAACCATGTCCCTAAATCATTCCCAGTCTCCAATTTTAAAATACCCAATAAAGACATGAGCACCTGCGTTTGACGACATCTTTGCCCTGGAACCACAGTGGTGGGGAGAAGGTTGGTGATCTTGTCCCATAAGAAATAAGCAGTGCACCATAACTACAAGGAAGTGCTTATCAAATTAAAGTTGAAGTCATGTGGTAAATTCCATTTGCAAAGCCCTGCCTGAGACCCACCACATAAGTAAACCTAACATTGCTATAAGCACACCAGTGAAGCACTGGATATATGGGGTCAGCTGGAAAAAAGAGTTCTTTTTCATTTGCTGCAGATATGTTTTCATGTTTTCATGGATTTTTAATACATAAGGTTTTACAACTGATCCTTTGTATACCGTTCGTTCCTGTTGTGTATGTATATTATTGCAGCCATAGTTGACATTAATCTTTTTCTTTCTGGTAAAACAGCAAAGAGCTGTCTGAGGACTTACCTTATGAAGTGAGAAGGGCTCAAGAAATAAATCACTTATTTGGTCCAAAAAATAGTGACAATTCCTACGATGTTGTTTTTGACCTTCACAACACTACTTCGAACATGGGTTGCACTCTTATTCTCGAAGATTCCAGGAATGACTTTTTAATACAGATGTTTCATTATATTAAGGTAATCTTGATGTTCTTAACGAGTTATCTTGGGATCCTTCCTTTTTAAGTCATTGAAAGATGTCAAGAAGGTGGGACAAAGAGAAATGGGTCATGTTCCACAGCCAAATGGGAGGCTTGATGAAGTGCTGTGCAAAGGGACAGAGGCAGCAGTGACAGAGAAGAGAAAGGGAAATAAAACAATGAACACAATGAGCAAATAATAAAACATCTGTGAATACTTGAGTTTACAAAGTTATAAATTTTATGCAGATGGCCACCAAGTGTGTAGGATTTGGAAAAAAAAAACAAAAAGTAAAATTAATGCCAAAATTTTAAACAGTGCAGTTGAAGCATCTCAACTGCACAGCTATAGGAAGCTCAATAGATTATTCAGTGTTGACTAAAGGATAAGGATAAGGAGACTTGGCTCCCTAGTGTCTTGCCCTTGGCCCCATCTGGTCTCTATGCACTGAAATACTTCTGCTCTTCGGTGTGTGTTTCATGAGTGCATCCAGACTTCAAGCCAGGCAGCTGAGTGTGTCCTTTGCACTCACTGGAGGTGCAGATGAGTGCTGACCATGATGACTTATGCTCAGTTACAAACAAGACTCAGAAATCTTCAGAATGAAAAATTCCACTACAGAAAAGTTTGCTAGAATAACAGTGATATCACAAATATTGAATTATATGTTTGTTTCTATATAATAAATATCCTTCCTTCCTGGGAGCTGATATGACTCAATAGAATGAATTTGACATGGGTATCCATGAGAACCTGAGTTCAAATCCTGACACCCTTATTCATTAACCTTGGACAAGATACTCATCGTCCCAAAACCTTGCTTCCCTTATTTTATAAAATGGGCATAGTAACACTTAACCACCTGTAAATGCTAAAAATCTTCAATGAGATAGAATAGTTAAGGTATTTTAGCCCTTCCCCATGACTGGAAGCATGGAGGCCACAAGTTTTCTGGAATTACTGTAAAAGATATTAGCCAGTGAGAATTCGTCAGAGCTCTGGCAGCCTTCCTTAAACAGTCGGGGAAGCTGAAAGTCCCCAGAAGGATGCACACAGTCGAGCTGGACAAAAATAAGAAGCTTGCCCACTGTGAGGAGAACTGGTTTTACACATGAGCTCCTTCCACAGCATGGCACCTGTACCTCCACAGTGGTCAGGCCCAGGCACTTCAGCCAGTACTCCTAAAGTGTGGCCCACTGGTTCCTCCAAACACTGGAGGGGTCTAAAGTGATGGAAAGGGACTAAGATGGGGGCTGGAAGCTAATACCTCAGAGACAGAGATCTGAATAGGATCACTGGACAGACAGCAGCTGTCAATAAGAAGTAGGAGAACAAAGGATGCTGGGTTAATAAATTGCCTCATTCATTTTATAGCCTATAGTCAATATTAGCGATTTCTTTCTTTTCTCTTGAGTTTTGACAGTGACTACCTAGTACTTCGGGGGTAAGGGGGGACAGGAAGACGGGGGAGACCACAGTGTAGCTATCTTTTTCACTCATTGAAGAGAAAGTTGAATGCTTTAGTTACCATATGTGGAACCACATGGCCTATAACTAGTTATGAAAACCTAGAGGTTAGTCCAGATGTGGTACCACAAACTTTTAATCCTGGAATTTAGGAGGCAGAGGTAGGAGGACCTCTATGAATTTGAAATAAGCTCAGTCTACATTGTAAGTTCCGGGGCAGCCAGGAATACAGAGCGATGCTCTGTCTCACCTTGAGACCTGGCTCAAATTCTCACTGAAATAAGCAGAAGTTGTGGGGGAAAACCACGTACTATCTGTAGAGATCAGGACCCCATATAGTAACAGAATTTAAGGCCAATATTCTGTTAAACAGTAAATGTAAACAAAGATGTAAGAAAAATGTGTTCAGAAGGAGAAAAATGTGTTCAGAAGGAATGTTTATTTTCTATTTTTGGTTTGCATCCTGGAGTATTGTCTTATGTACATTTCACCCAGAAAGCTAATATAGTTTGACTTTATATGTAATTCCTTTGCATGTTTTCAAAGCTATAACATTGGGTTTTAGAGAATGTTTCACAAGACTGTCAGGTTAATTTTAGTTACAATGTGAAGCATTTTGGAGGGACTACTGACTCTGTAGCAGCCAAGGGAACATACTTTGTGCACTAAGAAAGATGTTTTCAATTCTGTTCAGACCTCCTTGGCTCCATTACCCTGCTATGTTTATCTTATCGAGCATCCTTCCCTCAAATATTCCACTACCCGTTCCATTGCCAAGTATCCTGTTGGTAAGTCACACTTCCTACTGGCACAGGTAAAGAAATTACAGCTTCACTGACACATAAAGAACATAATCTCGCTACCTCACATATCATTAATGTTATAATGATCAAGAGAGCTGATTGACTGTAGGAAAGCCCTAGCCATACCTAAGTTTCTCTGAGAAGATCTCTAGATTTGTTCATATTATTTTGTTTGATACAACATTCAGACTTTCAAATCAGTCTGATGTTCTCACTCCCAAAACTCAAGTGGAATAGAAGCTTCTCTGACTCCACCATATTGTATTGCAATGATCTGTATATTCCATAGGTATTTGTGTGTCTGCTGGAGATCAATACTGTGCTAGGTTTTTAGGATGTTGCAGTGAACAAGACACATGATCTTACCTCAAGGAGTTCTGGGTCTAATGAGAAGATGGGACTGTAATCAGATAATTATTCCATGATGGAAATTTACTATAGTAGGTGTAACTCCATTCTGCTTCCTAGGAGACCTATTAGTATAATTTTATAATTATCTACAAACTACACTGTAAATAAAACTGTTACTACAACTCGAATCTATTTTGTTAACTCTCAAATATTTTAAACAAGAGTAACTTGAGAGATGCTTGACAAGTAATAGAAGCAAATGAAAATTAAAAAAAAACAATAGCTCTGATTATTCAAATAGTGAGAGGTTTGTTGCATGGTTAAAATAATTTGTTATTATAATTAGAGAACTATATTCAAATATGTGGGTATAATATAGGCTAAATATATAATATCATTACATAGTTTTAAAAACCAAAACTTTGGCCTGAGGATATAGCTCAGTGATAGAGTCCTTGCCTAGTATTCTAATACTTCATAATAGATCGACAGACAGACAGGCAAATAGTCTGGAAAAATAGAGCCTAAATGATACTGGATAAGGCTGTAAATGTAGCTAATACGAAAGTTCTTGCATAGCATGCATGAGGACTTTAACTCAACCTCCAGCACTGCAAAAATAATAACAACACAGGATAGACAGCCTGGTTCCATTTGACACTGAATAAAAGGAAAAGACTTGTGAAGTCTAAAAGATCAGTCTTGGTCTATGATATTTATGGTCGGTGCTTTTTCCTAGTTAGAACAAATGTCTGCTGATATGTTGGTACCTTGCAAATAGAACTAAATTTTAAAACATCTTAACATGATGAACTGTAAGTACATTTTAAGTTAGGAATGTTAATGTGTTCTCCTAATTTTGAAACTTTCTTTGGAGTTTATTTATTAAATAATGAATAAAAGCCCTGGAGATAGGGAGGAAAAAAACCTGTTGATTCAACACTTTATAGTCATAAAGACTGTCTATGCAAATGTATTTTAACTGCTACTAACTGTATAAGGACCATTCTAATGCCAAGCTTCCTCAAACCTACCAGGATTATTCTAGGTAAACTTAATCCCAAAAGGTGGTTGTAGTTTGCTACAGCCAGCCTCATGATCAAACCCAAGCATATCTATTCACACTCCCCACCCCCAACATGGATGAGTAATTAGAAACAATCTTAGATTCTAGGCATAACCTCATTTCAAATTTAGCACTTTTTATGACCATTCTTTCTTCCTTTCCCTCCTAGTTGTGTCAGTCATATCCTATGGACTTGACTATTCTGCACTGACAAGGTTAATTTTTGGTTTGAAAAATATTGTCAACTTGGGAAAACAAACTTCAACAACTGATTCTTCTGCATGAAGTGCCACCCCTACCACCCTATAGCCCTTGCTCTCCACATAGACCTACAATGCCACATCTTCTGTATCTTTTTATTCTTCTGTTCCACAATCTTGAATGTATCTTTACTGTGGCCTCAAGATATCCACTGTAGTTTTAAACATCATAACAATAGCTTATTAAATAAAGAGGCTCTTGCGTCTCCCAGGTACATCCTTTATTTTGGCCCTTCAATCACTAGAGTGCTGGGATTACTGTAAGTGACTTAAGCTACTCAACAAGTACTCTTGAGCTGAAAACAAAGTACTTTTACCTTGAACTGTGAATACTCAATCAAAATTCTGATTCAGTTAGAATGAAGACAGATGAATTTGAGGTGGACAAATAATCTCTCCTACATATTTTTGCAGAGTTGTACAAATTATTTATGCATAGATAAATACCATACCAACACCTATGATACAATACATGTAGAGAAAGATCTCTTTGTACAACAATTAAACACAACAAAAATTTTACCCAAAGATGATAAAAAATATATAGTTAAGTTTTAATAGACTAGGAAGTAATAGAGATGGCTAAAAATAAGATGAAGATAAAGGAATTTATGAGATTGGTGGAATGGAATTATGGTATGCAGTATTACCATAATTCACAAATAGTTTAAAGAATGGAGAAGGTGGTGATTGAAGAAATGATTTTGTGGGAACTTGGCAGGAAAAAGGGACTAGAGAAGTGGTCTAGAGAAAGAATTTTGTTTGTAGCAATGAGGATGGATGTTTAAGCAACCACTGTAAAGACAGGATAGGCACAGTTTTATTGGAGATAGAAGAAACGAGTATAATTTTATAAAAAAATTTTATCATCTTATCAATAAGATATAATTACATTGTTAAATGAAAGCAAGAATGTTGCTCAAAACCCATATGAACTAAACCCAAAGTTTAGTTAGATAGAATTCTGACTACAGATATATTTCTTCCTGTGAAGGTAACTATGAAATCTATGACAATCTCTCTTTGTGGTCACCTATTACTTGTCAACCTCGCTTGGTCTGCATCTTTTACTAAGTAGTAAGTTTTTAATGTTTTGACAATACTGAAGAACATATAAAAGAAAAGGGTCACCTTGAGTTCATACCTCAGCACAGCTCTGTGGGTTTCCATGTTCTGTATGTTCTCCGACATTATCTGTATTGTTTTCTATGATACTAAACTGCTATAACACTGAAATTCTAGATTTATATTTTTAAATGCTTAATCTTTCAATGTATTCTACTACCTACATAAAAGTGATGTGTCTCCTTCTGTACATAGGTATAGAAGTAGGTCCTCAGCCTCAGGGTGTTCTGAGAGCTGATATTTTGGACCAAATGAGAAGAATGATTAAACATGCTCTTGATTTTATACATCATTTCAATGAAGGTGAGTGATGGGTGCAGTTGTTTCCTTATGTTTATTTACATGAATTAACTACGACGGGGTGTCTCTGAGTAAAACTTAACCACTAAATAGTGAAATGTAATGATAATCTAGATCATATTTGTCACATTTATGATCTTAGCTAGCTCTGTGTGTCTGTCTATGTCTCTCTCTGTGAGAGAGTGTGTGTATGTCTGTCTCTCTCTGAGTGTGTGAGTGTGTGTGTGTGTGTGTGTGTGTGTGTGTGTGTGATTTTGCCTTCCTCCCACCCTCTCACTACCTAGACTACCTAGTCCAGTCTTGAACTCTCTATCTTCCTGCCTCAGTTTTCCAAGGATTGGCATTACAGATGTGTGTCATACTCAGTTCCTAAAGTGAAAACTGTCTTTTCACCTCAACAGTTCCTAAAGGATGACCGATTTAAAAAAAAAAAAAAAACATTCAAGAAAAGCTCCCAAAGCAAGTCATTTTCCTTTTCCCATTGATTTCCATTTTAAACCGCAAAGACAGATGAGGTCCACCTTCCTGTGAGGATGTAGAAGGCTAATGGTTACTGGGGAAGGAGAGACATTTCCTCACTAACAAGTTGCTCATACTCACTTGCTTATCCCTCGCTATACTCCTGTAAGCAACACTAGGGAAACTCACTGGGTTAGAAAAAAGACACAAAAGTAGAAAGGGCTGGTCGGGAAGCACAAAGTGTTGACCAGAAGTGGGAAGGCGACAAGAGAGAATAGTGGAGGGCCAATATGATCAAAATATATCACATATACATCTGAAAATAACACCCATCATTGTGTATGGCTAACTTACTGGCTCAGAACATAGGAAAAAAAAAAGGAATGTTCATAAGTCCAATAAAACATAAGATGTTCAGGATCATGTAATCAAAAGAGTACAAATTCAAGTAATAAGATGTTTTCATTCATTAAATTAAGAAAATATTCAAATCTGATGATACTCCTGCTATTAAGTTCTGGCAAAGCTGTAGGAAAAGAAAATATTCCCATCTCTTTCTTGTGAGCATGTAAATTAAAATTAACAAAGACCCTTTAGGGTATAGTTTTATAGTATTTACTTCTTTTTTATTCTTGCTTATCTGTTGTTTGTATGGGACAGAGAGTGTGGCCTATGTACATGGTATATGAGCACATGTGTGTTAGTGTGTGTGTGCTGGGCCATGTGAGGACTGTTCTATGATTCTCTGCCTTATTTCTCTAGGACAAGATGTTTTGCTGAACCTGGAGCTAGGCTGGTAGCCACAAACAGGGCAATCTTTCTGAGCCCTTCCTTTCAATGCTTTTGATTATAGACACACATATCATACCTGACCACCTTCTTGGGTGCTAGTGTCCACGCTCATCCTCATGCTTGCCCAGCAAGCACTCTTACTCTTACTGAGCCATCTTTGCATCCTCAGTACTTCCTTCTTAAAATGCACAAGTCACATGGCCCACCAACTCCATGTCTCAAAGAAGCATGCACATCCAGGGCATTGCATAAGGGCTGGCTATTGCAGCTCGGTCTCCAACAATAAAACAATGAAAATGACCCAAATGCTCAATGGCTGTGAAGCATTAAATAAACTAAAATTGGACAAGTGTTCAAAAGACTTAATTTTTAAAAATCAAGCTGTTAATTTTGAAAAAGCAAGATAGCTCAGTGGGTACCATCAATTGATCTACAAGCATGAGGACCTGAGCTTGAATATTTAACACCCACATAAAAAGCCAGATATTGCTGACCATTTCTGTAACTCCAGCACTGTGGGGCAAAGATCAATGAATCTTGAGGTCTCACTGGCCAACCAGCCTAGTCCAAATACCAAGCTTCCAGTTCTGTGAGTGAACCTGTCTCAAAGAAGTAAGGTCGAAAGTGACAAAGTACAACACTCAATACCCTGCTATGACTTTCACATGCATGCCCAAGGGTGCACATAACCACACACTCACATGTAATACACATGTGTGCATGTATACACACACACACACACACACACACACACACACACACACACACACACTGCAAACCAAAGCATAAGTAAACAAATTGACTTTAAAATAACAGTAAGCTAAGTGTGATGGTGCAGGTCTGTATTCTAAGTTCTGGGGAGACTGAAATAGTAAATAAATGAGTTCAAGGTTCAAGACCAACCTTGCCTACACAAGGAAACCCTATCTTTACAATAATTAATTTATTATCACTCACTGGAAAGGTGTGTGTGTGTGTGTGTGTGTGTGTGTGTGTGTGTGTGTGTGTGTGTGTGCATATATATATGCCCCAGAAGTTTGAAAAAGACTAGCACTAGCACTCTGGAGCTTGCTTTCTTACTGCTCTTGGGATCTTCCATGGCCATTATGTGACTCGGTCCCCACTGATAAGGTTACAGGATGGAAAACACAAAGACCCCAGTACACAGTCACACAAATCAAACTGCAGCCTACCAAATGTCAGACATGAGAGTGGGGCTATCTCAGATCGTCCAGCAGCCAGAGGACCTGCCAGCTCACCTTGCACATGTCAGCAAGACAATTGGATATCAATCAAAGCCAGTCCAAACTAGAGGACCTGCCCGCCGACATACAGAGTCACAAGCTCAATGTAGGGGGATAAACCTTAAGCTGCTGAGTTCTGAGCTAATGTGTTACACAGCAAAAGCCAGCTAGAAGTGATGACACTTCTCCCCATTCCAATTGCACTCTAAGGGAAGGAAGGCTGTCCTCTAGGATTCAGCCATAGCACACTCTAGGCCTTCCATCAGACACAGGTTCCTATATTCTCCCAGAGATTACCTCCTGTATCTGTGAATTCTTCTGTCTAATCTTTCTTGGCACTTGGTTGTTCAATTTTGCACCATCTTTGGGGGTTGCACTCCACTGTTGAACAGACTCACTGCATCACAAGAGCTCCCTCCTCGGGAGTTGTCATATGTCAGTGTCCTTGGTTAAGGCAAATACCCATCATGCTGAATCCAGCTGACTTGCTGGATATCTTTGTGAAGACACACAGTCACACAATGTCAGAAAGAAGGACTCTGCCATAAACTCATCCAAATTTTCACCTGAGAGGTAATGAACATGAACCTGCAGAAGGCCAGCATGTTGCTCAAGAGCACACAGCCAGGAAAACCAGGAGAAGAGAGCCCAGCAGCTCTCTTGGTCATGGTCCTAGCAAACATTGACACAGGTAGCTTCTGTTTCTTTCCCTGTCCCACACACTTGTGGGGAATGTGCTGACATGACTAATTCCAGAGCGTGTTTAGCTTCTTGACATTTATGGGCCTCCGTAATGGACTGTTTGCCTTCTGGCACTCTTCACTTCCTATTGTTCTTCCTTCCTGAAAGTGCCAGCTTCCCTTTTTCTAGGACATTTCTTTATAGCTGTGGTTAACACATCCCATTTCTTACCATAGGAAAAGAATTTCCTCCCTGTGCTATTGAAGTCTATAAAATAATGGAGAAAGTTGATTATCCAAGGAATGAGAGTGGAGAAGTGGCTGCTGTTATCCATCCTAATCTTCAGGTAACATTTGTTTCTTTGAAATACTGACAGTAGTATTCTACTTTGGAGTGTAATTTTTCCATTTATACAGCATTTTGTGCATAGTAGCTAATTTATTAGTATTTAAAGTCAACTTTCCATCACTATAATGAAATAACAGACACACACACACACACAAAGACTAATAAAGAGAAAAAAGTGTTATTCTGCTCCCCATTCTGGGGGTTCTAGTGTGGCTGCAGTGCTTTGAGGCTGGGGCAGGAGCACATGGTAAAGCAAACTGCACAGACAAAGATGTGAAGTACAGGGCAGGACCACAGACCCCTCCAGACTCTTCAGTGACCTAAGGGCTTCTCTCAAGGAACCACTTCCTACAGATCAGCATCTTTTCCTGACAGGACCACTCTAGGGCTCGAGCCTTTAATGCCTGGACCACTGGAGGACACTACTCATCCCAAACTATAGCAGAGAGGACCCAGGCCATCTCTGGGTGGTTGCTGTGTATAATGTGTTTCCTCTCCTTCCACTCCTCCCAACACCCCCACCACCCCTCACCCCCAGAAGTTTCCCTTCCAAGAAGAGAGCTTTCTAAAAACAGTGCCAAGAATCTCAGATGATCTGACATTATTGGCTCGAGTATCGGTGGTTGAAAACCACTGATCCAAGTCAAGTCCCTACTTAATGACTCTAATAGCCATCAGGCAACCTCATAAAGCACCCTGCCCACAAATTCAGACCAAGAGAGTACATCCTGCCTGTAGCTTCATGGAAGAGGAGCCATGAGCAATGGTTTTAAAAGATGGAGTGTAGTAGAGAGGCAAAGAACTAGCTCAGGAAACACAGGCCAGCTGACAACGTCACAGCAGCCTCAAACACAGGAGTGTTCAAGTGTGTTCTCCTCAGTAACATACTTCAAATATAAAAGTCCCAGGAGGCTGGATGAGGACAGTAACCAACTTGATTAGTATTGCTAGACTATAAGGAATGGCTTGACCCAGGTCTGGTGGCTGTAATTCCAGCCACTTAGGGAGACTAAGGCAGGAGGAACACAAGCTAAAGGACTTTTTTGGCCAAAAAAGTGAGTTCAAAGCCAGTCTGAGCAAACTAGTGAGACCCTGTCTCAAAGAAAAAGACAGAAATAAGGCTTGGAGTATTGTTCAGTGGTAGAGCTAGCATGTGCAGAGTACTCTGAAGTTAGTTCTGAATACTAAACACAGAAAGGGCGGGGAGAGAAGAGAAAGAATTTTCTACAAGAGATATTGATAGGCTGTTATCTCTGTAAACACGTTTGAATATCTACTAAGCCTGTTGTCCCTGAGATGGAAGATTCTAGTTTTGTTTCTGAGATGAGGCCAGCTCCTCCCACTGGTGCAAGAGTATGCTGGCCTCCCAAGAGATTCTGAAGCGCAGCTAGAGCTGAGAAAAAGTGCTCTGGGCAGCCCAGCTCAATTTCGATTCATTCACATGCAGATTGTTAATTCAGTGGGTCTCAGCAGGGGATGAAATTCTACTTTTCTAACAAACTCCACAGGATGCTGATGCTGCTAGGAAAGGTTAGGAATGCAGAGGCCCAGGCCCTGCCCTGGCCTAGAGAATCATCTCAGCCAACTCCCCAGACACTTGGCAAGCACAGCAAAGCTGGAGCTGGACTAGGGCTCCACTGGTCTAAAGCATTAGTGTTAGAAGGCTCACATACGTCTCAATGCATCCCTCTTGTATCTCTTTCTAATGGAGAATGTCTTTTTTAAATAGACAATGTTAGTTATCTACAGTGTAACAGAAAAAAATTAAAAACAGGAGAAAAAGCCAAATGTAATTTGTATATTTTGATGTCTCCTGAGAGGATCAAGACTGGAAGCCATTACACCCTGGAGATCCTGTCTTTGTGTCTCTTGATGGAAAGATTATTACCCTGGGTGGAGACTGTACCGTGTACCCGGTGTTTGTGAATGAAGCTGCATATTATGAAAAAAAAGAAGCCTTCGCAAAGACAACGAAACTGACACTCAACGCAAAAAGTATCCACTCCACTTTGCACTAAAAATCACCGCAAGCTCACAGTTCTAGGGAGTCTTGTGGACCATGTGAGCCCTGCAAGAGCAGGGCTGTGCCTTATGCTAGTTTTTTGCCTCAGCACTTCGCCCCATGCCTCAAGCAGCAAGCATCAAGGCCAGTTTCTGAAAGGAAAGAATAAATTAATGAATGTCTTTCAGATATATTTTGAATACGCTATGTATAGCTCATTCAGACAAGTGTGTTTCTGGTTTCTGTGTTAACATTACATTACGTTCTGGTAGCTTAACATAGTTAATGACTTTCACATTCAAAACATAACATTGAAATCGATGCTACATGCAACTTAGCATGTATCGAGACAGTGAGACAAACTGAATATGTGTTTTCAAGTAATGCATAAGTGCTACTAAAAACTAATAGTACAAACTTGGTATTTTTTAAGTTTTGACATCTGAATTAATGACAGTATATTAAATTTCCACTCTGTAAACTCTAGCCATGACTGATAAGTAGCATGAAAAAATAAAAGACCCAGAGACAGGTATTAGGGTTCAACCTGAAGATCAGAGAAGCAAAGTAGCGAAGCTACCAGAGAGCTCTTACCTCTAAAAGGTCTGGGGTGTTCCTATGCTCAGTGTGGCTGGAGAATGAGTGCCTGATGCTGAGACCTTGCTCCTGTCTTATATCCCTCCCTAATGCTGGGATTAAAGGTGTGTGGTCCTAGGTGCTGAGATCATCTTTGTGTGAGCTGTTTCTCTTTAGGACTGGATCAATCTGAGTGGTTTTGGACTCACAAAGGTCTATCTACCTCTTAATCCTGAGTCCTGGGATTATAGGTTGTACCAACACCTCCTAGCTTCTGGCTGCTGGGATTAAAAGCATGTGCCTGGCTTCTATGGCTTGTGGCTGATTTTGCTTTCTGAATTCTCAGGCAAGCTTTAATAAATCATAAATAATATATCATTTACATCTGTAAACAATTTCACATCTTTCTGCAGATAAGATGTGAAAGGAAATAAAAGCTGGGTATAAAGGTGGTATGTGAATACTTGAAGAAACATTCCCCTCAAAGAGCTAATCCTTGTCCTTGGTGTGAAAAGTTTGAAAGAGATACATTGTTTGCAGCTGCAACTGTCATTCTGAAAGAACACAGTCACCCAGATTCATAACCACAGGGTATGAGGGGCTGACCTTTTGTCCCAGAAGCCACCATCAGAGATGGTGCAGATCAGTAACAGAAGGTAGTGGGCACTAGTGGAAATATGGCCCAATCTGTGACTCGGGATCACAAACACATGTTTTCAAGAAGTTCTTCCATGTCTCAAGTGACAAAAATCCCTTCCCTGTCATGAGCTTCCTTAAAAGACCCCTGCTGAACCCTTCCTACCTTCCTCTCTCCCTCCCTCCCTCCTTCCCTCCCTCCCTCCCTCCCTTCTTGCAGCATCTCTGTCCCCTCCCTACAGGGCCCTCACCTCCCTCCCTGCATGACTCTCCCTCCTTCTCTGAAGCCACAGCAATCATGTAAGGAACATTTTATCCCGTGATTTGGACCCCAAGGAACCCACAATGATGCTAGAGAGATGGGTTAGTTGGTAAAGTGCTAACATACAAATATGAAAACCTGAGTTCAATCCCTAGCACCCAGCTAAGAAGCCAGGCACAGTGGAGTGCTGCTAAAATTCCAGTTCAGGCAGAGGTAGAGATAAACAGGTCCCTGGGGCTTGCCAGCCAAATCAATGAGCTCAAATATCAGAGAAGCACAGTCTCAAAAAATAAAGTGGGGAGTAACTGAGGAAGATACTTAGCATGGACCTCTGGCCTCCACAAATGTACATACAAAAATGAACACACACACTCAAGCACACACGCATGCATGCATACACACATACTATTCATCCAGAGAAAACTTCATTAAACCATTTCACCCTGTATTCAATGTATTCAAACATCTATTTTGTACCCTGCTAAAACTAATCATTGAAATCTATTCTTCCTGCTGAATGTCATAGTTAAAATGTGACATGTCAATCAGCTTCTACAAGCGTTTAGTGTTCACTTTCTCTGAGCCAGTTCTTTTACAGCTATAAACGACAACTAGAAGACTATATTCTTCCACCCAAAACTTAATTACAAAAGTTAGAATGTACAATTTAGATTGCCATGGTTTCAGTGTACAGATTGTTTCTATAGTCTAATTTTTCTTGACTCAATCCTTACAGTCTTCAGAATTCCTAATTATATGTGATCTTGTCTATGGCCATGATACACTGAGTACATGCTATCTAATTAAATGTGATATATATATATATATATGTATGTCAGAGGACAATGTTCAGAAGTGGGTTCTCTCCTTCCACTGTGTGGATCCCAGGGATCAATCTCAGGTTGTCACTCATTTCTATAAGCACTTTCACCATCATACAAGCCTATACATTTTTTATGTGTATAGGTGTTTGCCTGAATGTATGTCTGTGTACCACATGTGTGCCTGATGCCCTCTGAGACCCAAAGAGTATGTCAGATCTCCTAGAAGTGGAGTTACAGGCAGTTGTGAGCCATCATGTAGGTGCTGGGGACGGAACCCAGTCCTCAAAAAGAAAATCCAGTAGTCTTAACCACTGAGCCATCTCTCCAGCCCCACGTAATATCATTTTAATCCATATATGTTATCTATACATTTTAATGTATACATATACATTTAATCTTTACGTGTGTGGTTTTACCCACTTTCTGCTATATTTTATTTTGATTGAGTCTGTAACAATCTACATATCCAGTCCCCTCATCTATAAAAATGGAAGTGATAATTATAATGCCAACATAATAATGGTATCACTGTTAGGATTAAGCAGCTATTGAATGCAAGCACTTAGCTCAGTGCTTAGTGCCCAAGATGCATTTCATCAGTTATTCAAGATAACATGAAAGGCTCTACATGGTCTGCCTCTCCCACCCCACAACCTCCAGACCCATCTCTGCTTTCCTGTCCCAGTGTCCTTTGTGTTGTTTTGTTCTTATATGCCTTCACCCAAGCTGATTCTTCCTCTAGAATTTTTCATCTTCCTTCTATTTCCCCCTCCCCAGATTGATACTGCCCTGGCCTATGATTCAAAATGCAACTCGGTTCTCGCTATGTGTGCAAAGCCTTCTGAGTCTCCCTCTCTCTCACTCAGTTGCCCCTTTGCGCTCCTCTACCATCCCTCCTTGACAACATTAGCATTGTCTTTATCAGCATCTACAATGCAGAATATGCCAAGAAAGGCTGGTAGAATAAACATGTGCATCAAGCACACATTTCCCTACCCAGACACATTTACATCCCACCAATGCTCTCGCTTTTCATGTTCTTTCCGGGAAACTTCTTATGTCACCTGCGTTACTCCAAGGTGAAACTCATTCTGTTCTGCACTTCAGGCCTACTAAGGATGGCAGAAAGATGGGAAAGTCCCTTCCTTATAAGAACACAACCCCATAGAAAACAGAAATGTTCACACTCAATACCCTGTGTGACCTTGTTGTGGCTTTTCCTGAGCCTGGGTGCAAAATCTCAAGGCCTCATCATGGCCAGACAAGACCTGGGTGCTCTGGCTTCTGCCACCCTCCCTCCCAGCTTCATGTTACTCCAAGCAACTGGGACACAGGCCAGATTCTCAGATACACATTCCCTGCTGCCCTGGGCTTTTCCATGATGTTCCTTCCATTGGAAGCCTAGCCCCCTTCCTTAAGTAGGTTTTCTATTACTGTGATAAAACACTACACTTAAGGGGGAAAATTGTTTCATTTTACCTTATACTTCCATATCACAGTCCATGATCAAAGAAAGTCAGGGTAGGAACCTGAAGTCAGAGACTGAAACAGCTGCCAAGGAGAATCCCTGCTTACTGGCTTGCTCATGGCTTGCTTGATCTGCTTTCTTACATTATCTGAGAAGATTGGCACTGACTACAGTGAACTGGGACCTCCTATATTGATAATTAATCAAAAAAAACTATCCTGTGGGTTTGCCTACAGACCAATATGATGGGGGCATTTTCTCAGTCAAGATTCCCTCCACCCGAAAGACTGTCCTGTGTCAGGTTGACATAATAACTAGCCAGCATACATGCCAACTCTTCCCAGGTCTGGGGATGCTTGTTTCTAATGTGACTTGGTTTAGGTAAGACCATTGTGTCTTAGAAGTACATTGAAACTACCGGATAGGCACTTCACAAAACTCCAAAACAGAAATGAATAAAATTGGAGCAGGAGACAATGTCTCTGTCTTTGCTTAAACTGGGGCACTCCCAGAGAGTTGGGATAATTTATCTTGTTCTTTGCAGTATCCACAGCACATAACACAGTGCTTAACACACAACAGGAGCATGGCAACTTTTGCCAGGCAAGTAAGAACTGATATAGTCAGTGTGAAAGACTGGAAGAATTAGTAGTTGAGTCTCCTGGATAATAGCCACTGTGTCAGGAGAAGGAGCAAGTGAAAAGAGGCAGTGAGAGGAACTCTAAAGACTACAAAGATCAAAAGCCTTGGTGCTGGGAGATGCAAGTCAGAATCATTCCAGGGTGACTGGGCCAAAGCATGTCTGAAAGGCCTTGTGCACATCCCCCACAAAAAGCCTCAAGGAAAATGGCTTCTTAGGGAACTCTTAAAGCTTTTTGGCATCTCTACATTCCCTCCTACATTGTCTTCAGACTTGTCACTTAACCTGTAGAGATGCCTTTTATATCTTCCACCCTAACACAGCCGTGTGAAGCTGATGAAGTTTTTGGCAGGTGGTGGTTCTTCAATAGGTGTCAAGTCAGTGATGAATGAACTCCTATCCAGGATGTCACAGTGCTCAGCCCTCCTCTAGTTCTTAGTACTCCTGGGGGTGGGGATTTTACAATGTTTAGCACAGAAAGGAACTCCTGTAGAAGGTTCTAACCACGCTGCCACATACACTGAGTAGGTTTCACAGGACACAATGAGAACATGCTCCATTCAGATATTCACAAAGTAAATGACAGTGACCAATATGTTAGTGACCAATATGTTACATCTTATCAAACTAAAGAAAAACAGGGGGGCAAGTGATATTTCCTGAATTTGGCCCAAAAAATAGAGATTTGATTAGAAAAACCAAGTAAATCAAAACCTGGAGTTTATAGGAGATTACTATATTACAAATGCAGGGGAGGGAGGTGCTAGAGCAACAGTAGCTATTTATAGGCTAATTTAGTTCAATGCAAGCATCCTATTTTAGGAAATGAGTCTATTAAGTGGAAAAAATAACTTTTGCCATGAGAAATGGTGTAAGAACTCACAAGGAAATGGTGCTGCATGAGTGTGGATACAAGTGAAATCACAGGTTTGGTGATCAAAAGCTGAAGGTGTCCCCATACAATGGTTTCCATTTTCACTGCCAGCTAGGACACTAGACCAACTACAGACATGGGGTGACGGAGTCACTAGTGATAATTTTGACATACCTACTGGAAAATAGAACCAGACAACTGATGAAGGAAATGGAGAAGCCAACAGGAGTGTGGCAAAGGTGACTGAAGACAGAGGATGCAAAAATATATGACACATAGTATACAACAATTACTCATATCCTCCCCCTTTCTACCACCTTTTTATTATTCATACTTGTATTCTCTATTAGTGCACATAATGAGTGCCCAATTTTAGTTGAATTGGAACTAAGTCCTCACACTCAATAAGTGAGGTTCATGCTTATAGAAACAGGCTGGATCCCTTCC